ACATGAGAACGACGACCCTCAGATGACCTTCCTGAAGCTCCCGGGAACCCACCCCTGAATTTTCACGGCGATCGGTTCAGGCGTTTTTGAATTTTGCGAATTTCGGATTTTTCAATTTTTTTCCGAGTTTTCGGATTTTCGTGGGTGGAGCACTCAAATAATTTTTTAAGGTAGAAGGACTCATTGCATCGGAGAACTGACCCCCCTATAACCACCGCTGGATCGCCCAGAACACGCTCCTAAATTTTCACGACGATCGGTTGAGCCGTTTTCGAGTCTATAGGTGACACCAGACAAACAGACAGACAAACAGACAGACAAACAGACAGACAAACAGACAGACATACGTTTTTATATATATAGATAACCTCCGGAAAATCGAATTCCCGTCTTTCCCTTGATGAAATCTTTGATTTTCGGTGAGAGGACCACTCAAATCAGTTTTTTATGGGGGGAGGACCCATAACATGAGAACGACGACCCTCAGATGACCTTCCTGAAGCTCCCGGGAACCCACCCCTGAATTTTCACGGCGATCGGTTCAGGCGTTTTTGAATTTTGCGAATTTCGGATTTTTCAATTTTTTTCCGAGTTTTCGGATTTTCGTGGGTGGAGCACTCAAATAATTTTTTTAAGGTAGAAGGACTCATTGCATCGGAGAACTGACCCCCCTATAACCACCGCTGGATCGCCCAGAACACGCTCCTAAATTTTCACGACGATCGGTTAAGCCGTTTTCGAGTCTATAGGGTACCCCGGACATACAGACAGACAAACAGACAGACAGACAGACATACGTTTTTATATATATAGATAGATAGATCATCTGCGCTGATGGTACGTACTTTGCCCAATCTCTGTGATCCGCCAATTTACACATGGTTTTCAATAATCTGACGACCTCCTTATTCGCCCTCTCTACTTGCCCATTCGCTTGTGGGTGTTGCGTACTTATCAGGATATGTTGTATCCCGTTCTCCCTCAGAAATCCTTCGAATGCCTTCGACGTGTACGCCGTTCCTCGGTCCGAAACAATCTTCGATGGCTTACCATACCCCATGAAGAATTTCGACAAGAACTTGGTAACTCCTGCCGTGTTCGTTGACGCTACTGCTTCGAGAATTGTGAACTTCGTAAGTCCGTCCACCATCACGATGAGGTGCTGCTTTCCAAGGCTCATCGGTAGTGGTCC